GGGGGAATGATTTGTATATTAGGGTTTTCCAAAGACACTAAAACCTATTAGAATTGTGTTTTACAGGTGTCAAAATGGGTTAGGAGATTCTAAATATAACTTTTGCGGGCTTTAGACTTTAACGGGCTAGGATCGGCTAGGCATTTTTCCTGAAGGATTCTCGGAATCAGTGGCAGAGTTAGAGATTCCACTAATAGGATTCAATTTCATTGAGAGGATTCAACTTTTATAAAAATCAGTTATATCAAACTTCTATTTCAAGACCATATGAACCCCCACTGCTTCAATGTGGCTCTGTCACTTTTCAATTTCTTGACCGGATAAAGCGAACTAATATTCCAACTACAAGCTTTAATTTACTTATATTAAGACTTGATAACATACATAAGTCAATATTTAACAATTCAATACCTAGGGTGAAGCCTTGGCTTATCTATTCCATTCCAACATATTCATTTGCTCATAAACGCTATTACTAATCATTTATAATTATCTAACAATCACATTTATATCAAACTCATCATTTTCATCAACTACAATTAATACGCAACATTAAAGTCTTTATCAATTCAACAACCAACACCTAACAACCACAAAAAATGCTCTTTCTATATCATAAAAATAACAAATTATCATGTTAAATAAGAGATTTTACCTTTGAAGTTCATGATCTCAGATCTCTACACTTTAGGGTTCTTAGTGATTTTCTTGAAAACCAACAAAGGATTTTGATTAGAATAACTTAAACAAACCTTCAAATACTTAGGATTCTTTTTATTTTTTTCTTGTTCTTTCTATTTGTCCACATACAACATTAGGGCTCTACGGCCCAAGGCTATTGTGCGCTTCCTTGGCCTAGTCATTCCAGGCTTCCTCATGGCATGAGGTCATTTAGGCTTCCTCATGACATGCGGTCATTTCGTAAACTAAAGTCTCTTTTAGGTCCCTTTTGTGTATTGGCCTCGCGATGGGACCCGATAGAATGCCTTGTCATTTTTTCAAATGAGCAAAGGCCTAGACTTTCGCACGACTTGAGATCACCTCGAGGTCTGGTGGCCTTCCCGGTCACTCTTGCACGATCTTTGTGCAATAGGTAAGATTGTGTTGCACGTTCGCTTGACCTAGTGTAGGCCTCTTGCAATGCATGATCGACACGAGAGGTCCTTGCAGCTCATTTTTCTTCTTCAACTTTTTCTAATTTCATTTTCAAAACTCAACCCCCATTCAACTTATTAGCGGAAAAATATGAAAATCCCGATACTTTCTAATGTTATGATATTCTATTTATACGCACCATTCACAAAATATTTTCTAGGTATTCATATAATAATTTATAATAGTGGACATGCGAGAAGAGAATATGGGTTGCTGACTTGGAGAGCTGGTAAAAGAATAAAACTTTCAAGAGACTAGGGATACATTGATTTACAATCTTTATTTGCTTCACATATAACCTGAAATGGTTATTCCGACCGTTATTTTATCATAATTTATCAATCTATTCAATATTATTCCTTTCATAGTTATTTAATTAAGTTTAAAAAGGAGTATTTTTGGAAAAGAATTTGTCTATTGACTATGAAAGAAAGAAAGAAAAAAGAAAAATAAATATTTTAGGAGTTGAAAGGTTCATGGCAGGCATAAGGCGTGACATATTACATATTAATTAAAAATCAAGCATGTCTCATGTATATGCTCTTAATGAGTTGATAATTCAAAAATATTACACCTAACGTGTAAAATTTATTTAATCGAGTAGTGAAATTATTACACACTTAACATGATAAGATAAACCAAACATGATAATAAGACACAAAATAAATATAAATTAGTGGGATAATGATATACATGTTTGAGATATGTCAGATTGTATATGAATTAGGTCTTTCTCTCTATTATCATCTATGAAATGGCTGTTAGAAAAATTACAAGAGATCAAAAGAGAAGTATAGCTTTGAGGCGTAAAAGATCACTATCTTTCAAGAAATATTGCATGTATATATATTCTTTAGGGAATTACAAGCAATTCTCCGTCAGGATACAACAAAGTCAGAATTATACTTGCAAATTGAATATCATTGCTCCTGGGGTCTCCTTGTATTTATAGAATTCAAGAGAAGATTTTTCAGAAAAGTCACACTCATATACAAACAGTTATGTCTGTTCTATTTAAAATTTAAATTTAAATTTGAATTTTAAATAATAGTAAAATGTTCCAAAAATAAATAGGAAAATAAAACCTTTATTTAAAGGTTTGACCCGGCCCGCGCTCAAACCTCAAGTACAAATCCAAGTTTACACATACTATAGAAGTATGTCATATACTCATTCTCTATGACCTAGTGAGCTTAGTCTTTTAAGGCCACAAAAGTAGCTTAAAGCCACTGATGTGGGAACCTCACATATATAAAATATGTCTAATAATCCCCCACTAGTTTGTATATGTATCATAATATCGTGTATAATGTAAGCCTCTTTTGTAGATTTGAACTTTTCACTAGTGTAAATACCTTAAAGTTCGACGAAGTTATTGGTATCCTAAGATTTGAACCATAACTCCTTTTGTCAAACCAAAAGTATCACACACATAATATTATTAAGCAGCAAAATAATCCAGTATAGAGCTTTAGCACTTTTATGGCCATGTGCTACTCCTTATGTCAAGAATATAAGGTCAACCTTTTAAGTCTTATTTGAAGCGACGCCACTTCATATTCATATAGGTGGAATTTAGACTTTATGTTCCTGTTACTCAGACATTTGCTAATTCCATTAAGAATTAATTCAACATTTTCAAAGTAATAGTTTGCACTTTCGACTTTGTCATTGTACCCTTGTTATTACAGGCACTTAACAACTCTGTAGCTCCTCATATAACAGTAAACAGTACATTAGAATTAAGGCTCCTAAGAGAAGACCAGTTCTTAAACAACACAAATAACTTGTTATTACCCTTTGAAATTATATTATTAGAACTAACTCAAAGTTGGGTTCCCATCACTTGTATTTTTAATTTAAGAGTTTCAGCCCCATTCCTTCACTAGTATGTTGTAAAGCTTCTTTTGACAATGCTTTAGTAAGTGGATCAACCAAATTTTTATTTGATCTCACATATATTAAAGGTATAGTTCCATTGGTAATTAACTCTCTTATATAAGCATGGCTGAGGCTTATGTCTTGATTTCCTATTATACATTTTATTATGAGTTACACATATTGTAGTCTCACTATCACAGAATATAGAAACGGCTGGCATAGGTTGTGGCCACAACTTAATGTCTAGTAACATTTTCTTCGTCCATTCTGCTTCTTTTCCAGCAGCTACTAATGCAATAAATTCAGATTCCATTGTAGAATGAGAAATACAAGTTTGTTTCTTGGATGCCCAACTAATGACACCACCTCCTAAAGTGAATATCCAACCTGAAATAGCCTTGTTATCATTAACATTCGTAATCCAGTTTGCATCAGAATATCCATCCAATACGGTAGGAAAACCACTATAGCAAATACCCAAATGCTTTGTTCTTTTTAAATACCCACTTACTCTTATTATCACTTTTCAATGATCATTACTTGGATTACTAGTAAATCTTGAAAGTTTCAGATCTATTGCAATGCATTGCATACATCATACTGCCTATGACACTTGCACACTCTATTTGAACCTTTGTTCTTCCCAAATTTTCAATTAATTTGACACTTGAGTCATACGGAGTGTTAGACTTTTTTATGCTCAAATGATTAAACCTGCAAAGTATCTTATCAATGTAATAGACCTGTGATAAAGTCACTTTATTATATGTGGTTCTTTTAACCTTGATACCTAATATAGTATCAACTTCATTCAAGTCTTTCATCTTAAAAATAGAAGTTAAATACTTTGTAGTTTCAAAAATTCCAAGCATATTCGCACTAAATATCAACATGTCATCAACATAGAGACAAATGATAACTCCATATTGTTTTACAAATTTGGAGTAAATACACTTGTCAGCATGATTATGTACGAATCCATTAGATAGTATTATACTATCAAATCTTTCATGCCACTGCTTTGATGCTTGTTTTAATCCATAAAGGGACTTTATCAACTTGCAAACTTTATGTTCATTTCCAGGAAGAATAAATCATTCAGGTTGTTTCATATAAATCTCTTCACTCAAGTTTCCATTTAAGAATGCAGTTTTAACATCCATTTGATGTACATACAAACCATATATAGATGCCAAAGATAAAAGCACTCTAATAGATGTTATTCTAGCTACGGAACCATATGTATCAAAGTAGTCAATGCCTTATTTTTTGTGTGAAGCCTTTTACAGCTAGTCTTGCTTTAAAAGTTTGAATAGAACCATACGTATTATATTTTCTCCTAAATACCCACTTACAACCTATAGGTTTAGACCCAGGAGGCAAATCAACTAAAATCTATCTGTTATTGGATATTATTGAGTCCATTTTATCATTGATGACCTCTTTCCAAAAAGCAGCATCCCTCGAAGCCATAGCTTCTTGGAATGTTGTTGGGTCATCTTCAACATTAAACAAGATGGACATTTTATAACTTACAGATGTTCTATCTCCTTCCACAAAAAAAACTATGGAATCCGAAGAAACAAAATCAAAATCGAGGTGTTTTTCTTTTCTAATTCTTTGGCTTCTTCTAGGTTCTAATTGAGTATTGTCACTCTTCTCATTGCTAACAATTTCTGAGTATAACCTCTTACTCACACCAACATCACTTTGATTTGGTTCAACTAAATGCCCGTCCGTAGT